TTCGCAATTTCTTTGTCTAAGAATCTGATTCCTTCCAGTGATGAATCACTTATAAGATTGAATACAGGTCTTACATCAAATTTTGAGGTACGTGAATAGTTAAATTGTTAAATTGTTGATTTTGTACAGGTAAATATTTAAGATGACATAGTCGAAACTTTAAAACGTGAAGTAAACCAGATAAAGTAATAAATATATGTATGTAAATGAGGAATATATTTTTATGGGATTTCGTTAACGTATTAATATATAGATATTCGAACCACAGTATGACATTTTAAGTTACACCAATGCACTTGACAACATAGGAGCAATAGGGAGGAATAGATTTGAATGAGAATCCGTTAGCGTATTAATATAGATAGTAGATGGTGAAACCAAAGCTGGCATTCATAGGCTTATACGCAAATTGGAATAACTCGGCTCTGGAGCCACCTATAATATGCATTTTGAATTTGAAGCAAATCGGACCATAAATGAAGTTTTTCGGAATAACTCCACTCCCACTCCACCTACTGAAAAAACAAACAAAATGCGCACCTCCCCTTTGCAATACCTTTCGAACAAAAGAGGAATCATTCAAATTGGTTGAGAAACATAGGAGCAGTAGGGAGGAATAGATTTGTATGGGATTTCGTTAGCGTATTAATATATACATATGTAGATAATAATTCTGGCTGCGTGTGCCTACTATGGTGTGCAGCCGGAACGTATGTATGCATCAAACTAAAGCATCAGTCTCTTATTTATAAACTATAATTGATGGATATATCCAACATACGTAAACACGGTTAAATCCTGAATTAGAACTTAGTTGCGCAAATAAGACCTTTCCATTATGGTTTAAAAATAAAAGAAGCGGATGTTTTGGCTTGATGTATTTCTGAACTCAGCCTATGTAAATACATACATATGTATGTTCAGATGCTGGCCAAACCGATATGTTTTCTGATATACAGTCAGTGTCAAATGTGTGTACACACTTTGTTTTAATAATAATAATGATATTCGCAATTATTTTTCATTCAAATTTTTTTCATTTATTATTTATGAAAATATAGTTCATTCTCTAACTTAAACTGTATAAATCAAAGCTCCGCACTTTATATAAAATTCAGAAAAATTCAAATAATTTTCATCAAAAATTTTAATAGAAAATTTTCTCCATATAAAAAGATTTTTATCATGCGTTATTTGGAAAAAAACGCGCAACACCCCCTACAAAAAAAATCTAAACAATTATTAGCGACTTGAAACTTGTAGTCTTACTAATAATTGAACGGGCTACTGCATACTCGAAAATTTTCTAGAAATTCTGAATAAAAATTTTGGTATTTTGATGAAAATTGTTTGAATTTTTGTGAACTAGTGTGATATTTTGATTTATATGGTTTATGTTATAGAAGGATCTACATATATTTTCACAAATAATTAATGCAAAAAATTGTTCATCAAAATAGTTATGAATATTATACTAGAACAAGATGTTCACAGTGTACATTGGACACTGACTGTATTTCTGCTTCATTATGTCGGCTTTCAGACCCGTCAAGTCTTCTTTTCAAATCTGCTCGTTCCATGACGAAGGAGGTGGAAGATAGGGGAAGAGTACAGAAACCTCCGTACCGTCAATTCGTTTCAAGTTTTCTTGTCTCTTTGCTTCCCATTTAAAAACCAAGAACTTGAAGTTGACGCGTCTGGAAGCAAATAGAAACACACACAAAAAAAAAATTAGAAAAAAATTGCTTTCAAGACTTGACGTGTCTGAAAGGGGACTATTTTTTCTTTGATTGTGCTTTCGTTCTGAAGTTCGTACAAGCTTTTCCAGAAAAAAACCAAGAAGTCGTAAGTTCGGCCGGAACCGACCTTCCTTTACACGGCGCACGTGCATAAAAATGTATCTTATTTGCACATTTCTGAGTTATATGAGTCATTATATAGAAAGAGGGCGTGGCTATTGTTCGATTTAAAAATTGTTTGGCGTGCACAAAGTTTGGAAGGATTTATTTAGCCATTACTGAAAATGAGCGAAGCACACTTCTCTAAAATTTGATAAAAATAATTTTTTTCAGCAGATTACTCAAATGTTAAATCTTAGCGAAATCTTAGAAATGCCGTAGATTTTTTAATTTTTGAAATACGTATGTATGTACATTAGGGATAAAATTATACCCGTTTTTTTATACCTGAGCGCACTTCTGCACAAGGGTATATTAACTTTGTTCGCATAACGGTTGTTTGTNAATGCCAGCTATGCTTGCAACAATGGTGTTAAATTAAATTGAAAATTGCAGCGTAGCAGCTTGTACGCAAGTCAAGCAAAAAGCAAGTAATATGAATTCGCTACTAAATTATCATAATTTTCAAGCATACTCACTGGAACACACACAGAAATACGCACTTAATTACATAGAATTTTTATATTTGTAGTTTATAATGTTTACAAATCCATACATACATATGTAAGTATGCAGCATATAGTACATAATTACATACACACAAAATGCATATAAATATATACATACATACACACGTACATATATAAATATATCTAAACTTAAAATGGTACCGAAAAAATCAATCTTAATAAAAATCCGATTCATTTTAAATGAATGTGCTAAGCATTGCTATTTGGAATTTTTGCAACATCAGCGTATTTTTTCATGTGTGCATTTCTTAATAGTTGCCCATTGCGTGGTTTTAATTATGGATTGAATACTAAGCAGAACGCCAATCTAACATAGTCAATTGTAGAGGCAATTGCCGTAGCCACTATCCGCCAGCGTTCCAAGTACAACACCAAAAAAAGGTTGTACTTCGCGTTGACAATACGAAATGAGTAGAGACGTTGCAGATAGCCGAGGACGTCGAGTTTCTCGGAGAAAGCTATATCGTAGTGGCTGAAAAGTGATGAGGATTAGAATAAAAGATTTAAATCGGTTTGTAATAAAACAAGAAACCAAGACAACTTAACGATGGAATAGTTTTGTAACACAAGCTTACAAACAAAAGGTAAAGACCAAAAATGGCCTTCATATTTCTAGGGTATCCTCTATTCGGAAATGCATCAAACTAAAGCATTAGTCTCTTATTTCTAAACTATAATTGATGGAAATATGTTTAGCTCTGCAAATTGAGTATTTCTATCAATTAATATAAACTAGTATCGCCCCGTTGTCGAAATTCGACCACCTCACTTTTTTTACANCATTCCATCCGTCCGTCCGTCTGCCCGTGTACACGATAACTCGAGCAAAAATTGAGATATCTCAACGAGATTTTATACATTGTAGGCTGCCCTTTAACCAAGGTAGGTTGGTGCTGAAAATGGGCGAAATCGGACTGTAACTACGCTCACTTCCCATACAACGGTATTTTCGAAAAATGCAAAAACTGTGATATTTCAGTAAATATTGGATGCAAATTGTTGAAAACTAGTATGTGGAGTAGAATTCTGGTAAAAAATAATATTGTTATGAAATTTTAGGATTTTTTTGATGAAATGCTGTATCTCAGTACTCGGTACGAGGCTTGACCAGGGTCTAGCTAAGAAATCTGTTGAAAATCTTTGAAATCGGGCAATAACCATGCCCACCTGCCATATAACGGTAATTTACAGAAAAACGAAAACTGCGATAAATCTGTAACTACTGAAGCTAATTGACTCAAAATCGATTATTGTAATGACCACTGAGTAAAAAATTAGACTATTATAAATTTTTGGATAACGGGCGTGGCGCCACCCCTTATGAACACAATTGTGTATCTCGGTAACCGATTTATCAATTTCCACCAAACTCGATGCACTTAATAACCTTGGTAAGGAAAAGCAATTTGTTGAAAATTACTCAAATCGGACTAAAACTACACCCGCTTCCCGTATAACGGTAAATTTCAGAAATACGAAAACTCCGATATTTCAATAACTGAGAACGCTAATTCACTTCAAGTTAATAGTTACAACAATCTCCTAACAATAAATAAGACCCACTTTATAACTACTAACTACTAATAACTAAGTGTACCTCGGTAAGCACTTAATCGATTTGTACCTAACTAGCTTCAATTATATCATTAAGTCTAACTCTGCATATTATCGAAAACGTTTGCAATCGATTAAACACCCCTATTTATCATGCAAAGGCAGTTCAGAGAAAGTTGAAAAGACGACGACGGTTCCGCCCGAACTTATACTTCTTTACTTGTTTTATTTTGAAATCAAAAAATATTTAGAGGTCGCTCAAAGCGCTCAAAGTTTCCCATGTATTTTATATGAAAAAAAACAAGTTTTCGTAGAAATTGTATAGATTTCTTGAAAATTGTAATTTGTAATATTCTTCGATCGGAAAACTTTGTATCCCTTCTGAAGACTTCCAATAACAATGGCCCTTATTATGAGTTGCATTCGACTTTCGATCTTCGATAGTCAGCGAAGAAAATCGAAAGTGAAATTCGTATTATGAGCTATGCAAGCATGTCGAAATTTCCGTTGAGTATCGAATTTTCTGTCGAACAAAATTTTGCTTTCGTTGGTTAAGTGTTAGAAAATTGTGAAAAATTTATGATTTTGCATTTGTTTTCTTACTTTTTTGGTGGCTAGACACTAATTTTAAAAAATTGTTATTGATTTTATGCAGTTCTAACGTCGTGAACACTAAACACAAGCTCGAAAGGCTGGTTTTACTTATGAAAGAAAATCCCAATACTCTGTTGGCACGATCTCTGAGAACTAAATCATAGAGCTGTTTATAGTTTTAGTTTATTTTAAATAGATTTGGATCACAAAATTTCTTAAATATATTGTATATCAAAATATATTTGAAAGACTACACTTACAGCCCTATTCCCACGCCATTGACAAAACTCAGCGGCTGACTATTGTCTTTACTATTGCGTCTAATGCTATACCGGAAATTTTTTTAAGCTCTCATATGGTGACAATTGTCATTGTTATTGTTATGACCTACTGAGAACGCGACAATGGCGAAGCAATGTTTATATTGTGTTTTAGACGCAGTAATTGTGACAATAGTCATACAATGAATTTTGTCAGTGTTGTAAGAATAGGAAAAAGGAATAGGTAAGTCTCTTAAACGTTTTCTGCTCCTGGCCAGTTGTCTAAGCTCCCATCCTCTGACGAATCGTTGAACCAGAACTCCGTTGTACTAATTTTTACCACGTCTCTATAAACTCGCTTTATTTTTTAATTCATTTTAATTTACACAAATTTACATATATACATATGTATAAGCACACTACTTAGTTAGCTCGATCTGTAAACAAAGCTTCTCAGAGGTGAAAAATATACTATGACGAGCGTCATAATACCAAATGAAAATTCGTTCGATCAGCACTTTCGACCACAGTCGAAGATCGAATCCAACTCATCATAGGGGCCAATACCTAATTGCTTATATCGGGAGCATTCGGTTAAGCGGTTACTGAGGTAACCTTATTTCACAATTTTCTAAAAATCTTATTTCTTTCCAAAATGTTGCCCCAAATTTTAATTTTGGATAGTTTTGCTTTAGTATTTACTAAAATATTTCAGTTTCTGCGAATTGCCGTAAGTTTTCTGCGATGGGGCGTTTTCGAACAGGCTATCGATATAGTCATGTGAAAAATAATACGGACACGATATTTTGACCATTTTTGCTATTCTTCTTTTGATTATTTAATGTTAATTATTTGTTTATAAAAAATACAGCCCACGTGGTAAGAAAAAAATGTATTTCCAAATTTCAAACTTTGTAGAATAATTTGAAAATTTTTACAACTTTTAGAAAAATTCATAGTATTTACGCAGTTTTATAACCCATTAAATTCTAGCGACATAAAGTTTAAGTTTCAAATTTTTAGGAGTTCGCTTTGATTTATATATATTTTTTTTTGCGAATGGTATTAATTTCTTCCATACAAAAACAAAATGTGTACTTATTTCATATGGAATAAAATGCGTGACGCCGTCAGTAAACAAATTATAAAAAATCAACGCGATTTCTTAGCTATTCGAAACATGCATTTTCTTAAACTAAAATTAAATGGGCATAAAGCTGCATTTCTACATATATTTTTTCTAAAAATTCGTAATAAAAAGTTTGTCGTTTTAATATTTTGTTGAAATTTTCTAATTTTTCAGCAAAGTTTGAAATTCGCACTTATGGTTTTTGTTAGTTAGTGAACTGTATTTAAAAAATAATAATAAACATTAAACAATATTTGTATTTTTTAGATAATGACACTATTGAAACCAATGCGCGATGTGTACCTTAAAAATCAGCTGTTACTGCCAAATTATATTTATTTTATTTATTAATATTTTTCATGTAATTTTTATAAAAAAAAGTTCAGATAGAAATGCCGAATCTGTATTGTTTTTATTGTAACACAGTGCAGACTCATAACACTATAAGGAAAATATACAGGCATGTTCTGAAATTCGAATCTTTGAAATCGACTCGATTTGCCAAATATTTTTTAATTCTATCTGATGAAAAGAGTGAATATTCTAACTGAAAACTATAAAGGAAGCAACAGCGATATGAAGTAAATCATTTTAATGCGAGACTTAAAAAATTTTGGACTAAAAACCATCGAAAAAATTATCGAAATCGAGTCGATTTCAAATTTTCGAATTTCAGAACATGCCTGATAAAGTTTTGATATGACACAAGAAAACGTCGAAACACGTGAACTTTAAATTGGGTCGTAGATTACTGATCTGTATACCTTTTTCCAGATGAGGTCATTTTCCAAAGATATTTTCATGAAAAAAATTCAAGCATTAACAAGGGCAAAATGTATTTTACAACGCTTTTATCAACTTGCAATGTTGTATGTCCAGACACCATTTTTAGCTATAATTAGAGATTATAATCAAAGTTCCTATACAAAAGTCTAGACATCAACCGCGACGGTAGGCCTTGCCTGAAGTAGTTAAATATCGCGCCTAAAAATATGCACTACATACGCTACAGCGGAAATGGACGTCAAGCCATTTCTTTAAATGAAATTAATTGGTGCTCGTATGTATGTATGTACATACCATATGTGAGCACAAAACATGTTGCTTGCATTTTGTGCATATGCACAAAACCATGCAAATACTTACTTTTACAAATAGGAATCGAATAAGAATCTTATTTGTACTAATTTGTATTTGCGCAAACATTTGTGTATTATATTTTGCGCAATAGTCTTCTGTTCTTTTTTCACTGCAAGTTAAATTATTCTCATATCTGTTGCAAAATTTTATACAGACACAAGATTAAAAGGTAGAAAATAAATAAAATAAAAAACTTTTTAATATACCACGCTTTTACAAATGGACTAAAAAGTGAAAAATAATGTTTCTCAGTCCTATGGAATTTGTTTTGATAACTTTTGATTTAGTTATAATAAACAATTTGTGAGATTGAAAATGAAAAGCGTGGGGAGCATGTAATAGACTTGAATTGATATAAAAAGTAATATATGTATGCATGTATGCGGGTATATGAATAACGAAAACATCGGTCTCAAATTTGTGCATTCGCTGTAGAAGTTTTAGGTCTATGTTATGTTGTTTGACTATTGTCAATTAAATCCAATGCTTTCAATTTCATAAATTGTTTATAATGACTTTTGCTAAAAGTTCAATATCAAAAGTTATCAAAACACATTTTATGGAACTGAGAAATATTATTTTCTAATTTTTAGCCCATTTACAAAAGCGTGGTATATTAAAAAGGTTTTTATTTTATTTATTTTTTATTTGTATTAAAGTCTGTCCTTTTGTCAAAAAATCAAGCTACTAGCGATGAAAATCGGTGGATAAATAAACCTCTTTTAAATGGTCGAATGAAAATGTGCAATAATTTTTTGTATGAGATATGTAAAGCGGGAAATACTCGTAATGTTACTCATACGCCACATCGTACATGGGCGTACTCCATCATACTCGTACATGGCGTATGAGTAACATTTTCTATCTAAAGTTTGAATTTTTTTCATTCGGCATGCAAACTTATGGCCTTATTCATAAAAAAAAAAGTAGGTTTAAAGAGCTTTATAAAATAACGTTTTCATAAATTTTTCGATTTATAAACCTTTTATAAAGCTACTTTATTTTTTATGAATAAGGCCATTAAAATAAAAATATCTTGGAAAAATTACAGGATCTAGAGAAACGGTGTACAGATCTGTATTCTGCGACCCAATCTTAAATTAACGCGCTTTAGCGTTTTTTGGTGTTATTTTAGCGTCCCTACAGTGTCATTTGGATCATAAAAGACCCCTAAAGAATTCATATATGAGGTAAAGTTTTGTATTTTTTGAAAGTCATATTTCGGACTTATGTATCGCTAGCTTAGACTGAAAGGTTGCTGAGTCTCATTTTAAAACTTTTACAGAAGAGGAAAATACTTATATTCATTTTCTTCAAGCATTTTGCAAAACTTTGAATAAAACATTTTGGACTTAAACTATGTTCACATTACAGCATAAATTACTTTGTTTCAATCGAATTACTTCACATAAATCAAGAACGTTCACATTTTCTTTCATCATTTCTATTGATATGTGATTAGCACGTACACGTACGAGTGTGTGATTTGTACTTGATTTCAAGAAAAAAAAAAACGAAAATAATTGCATTCCTTTAGGCATTTTTTTAAATTTCCTCAACAGTGTTGGTTCTTGGATTTATGATAAAATATCAGACTTTATAAAGCAAAATTACTTGATCTCAGCATGATTTGCTTATAAATTACAAATGAGCCGTAAATTACGATAATGTGAACATACTTTTAGCAAATTTTCCATTCATTAAATATAAACGAGAACAAATCCTTATCCTTTTCGAAACAATGCATTTTTAACTTCTCTAGCCTCCTGTATCAAAATATGAGTTTTTATAAAAACTTGACTTTCACTCTAAGCTAGCGATATTCTGAACGTTCAGAATATGTTTGCGGGGAATATAAAAATATATGCATTTGGATTGAAAGCAAACTCGAAAAAAATGAACAAAGGGGATGTGAATAGCTCTGTGGTTAGCGCTTCTGAGTTTGTACATTGATGATGCGGGTTAGATCCCTGCTGAAGTCTAGTAAAAGAAGTCTGTTGAGGAGATGTGGTGATCTCCGAAATAGCTGCTATAACTTCTACCGCTTAGACTTTGTTGCTTTTTGCATTTTTCCTAATAAACAATCTTGAAACAAACGTCAATAGCAATATTAAAATAGAAATGAACAAAGCTATTCAGATATCAATTAAAATTTTTTTTTTTAGTGGACAGTAATAACCATAACCATCTTAAAAGTTTCAACATGCAAGAGCGTAGGCAAAATGTGCTCACCAAAAAAGAATAACAGCTAAAAGTTAAGGAATACAAAAATTAAATTTTTAGTCCAAAGAATGGCAACAGCAAAACTAATGTCAAATAAGAATAGAAATGTATGAAAAAAAACACATTCACACAAGCACAAGCGCAATAACACTTGCTATATCAATTATTTTTTGCCTTCTTCCATTTTCAATTCTTTTTTTTTAGTTTTTAGATTTTAGATTATTCTCACTTTTCGTGTATTCTTTAATTTCCATTAATTTAAATTCAGTTGAGTTTGACACTTTTCAAGATTTTGCCAGCAAAAATTCTTCTGACTAAATCTGACTACTTCGGACTGAGGAGAGTCACAGTTGCTCTCTCATTTCTGCTGTCGTTTTCAAGTCAAGAAACGCTTTTTGGACAAAATCTGATTACTTCGGACTATTTATGGGAGATAAGGAACGCAACTATTATCTGATTAATCAAAATATTTGATTTGTCTAGGCTAGTGGTATGAAAAAAAATGTTCCATACATGTCAGTTGCAAAAATACGTCAATGTATTTTTTTGATTCAGTGCATGGAAATGTACATTGATGTTTTTCGACACATCGATGGGCATATGTAATCGATGCATCAATTTGCCTAGCATTTTTCAATAATGCTTCGCAATAAAATATTTTATGAGAAAAAATGTACAAAATTTTAAATAAATTACAGCAACTGAGCTTATTATGTTTGTAACGGAACTTTTTCGAGCCATTTTAATTTTTGGCCAAAGTCACTTTTTTGTACAATTGAAAAAAAATGACGATTCAATGTATTAGAGATGTCATTATTCAAAGACCATCGATGCATCGATACATCGACTATTTAAACGTCAAGAGGAAAATTTTCGATGCATCGAAGCAAAACATCGATATTTCCGATGCATCCATGTTTTCCGACGTCCCTACTTACATAAAAGACAATTTGAAAGGACTGAAAGGAAAGAAGGCAATGATCTAAATGTATGGAAATGTTATTAATATTTTTCAATTCGAAAACTTACTTTTTCAGTATGTACTGCACTTCAGTGTATGACCAAATAAATATCACAGCTGGATAAATGATGGGCAGTAATATTAGTATTGCCAAGATGAAACTGAAAACCACCTTTAGAATGGTTGGAAAGGGCAACGGCTGGAGCCATGTGTATACCAGGTGCTCAACGAATGGCTGCTGATAGTAAATCATTTTACTGAATAAAGACATCTGCTTCCACTGAAAAATAAGTTTTTTAAAATAATAGGGCTGTTCAGGATCTTTTGCATATGTCCTTGCAATTGCATATTCGTTACATTTGTAAATCCACAGCAATAAAATGCACAAGGCTGCCATGACAGAAAGCATAAAGCTTGCAAATGCAATTCCAACTGCAAATCCAAGACCATTTCCACTACATCCTGAACAGCCCTAATGTACATATGTAGAGGTTAGCAATGCGCGCTACCATTCCGCAGGGCCTGTGTTCTGGCCCAGTGTACCACACACTTAAAAAAATATATCGTCGATGTTTTTGCAAAACCGCCTATCTTACGGCACTCAAATTTCACAGGAGGGCGAGTAAACGGTTTATTCTTTGAAGGTACTGCCTTGATAGGCGGTATTTTCTCTATGTAGCTTCTATTTCACAAATCTGTTGTTTTAATAACGATTTTAATGCATAAATCTCGATGCCTGGAGTTCAGGCCTACCAAATATCAATTTTGTCACAACGGCGATTTAGGCAGTTTGGCAACTGGTCGATGGGCGGTTTTGCAAAAACATCGACGATATATACATATATTTTTTAATAGCGGCAGACAATGGTAAACCTACGAGTGTATTCTGCCATGATAACCAAATTCTCATAAAAATACAATCGCCATTCTGAGTCGGCGTGAAATTGTAGGTCTCTCCGCTTTGTGTGACCACATCAAGGCGCACGCCTTGGGGCAGCCGCATTTAAAAAGAAAATTTGTTGAATTTGGGCCAAACCAGGAATCGATTTTTTCCCCTTCTGAGTGATAATGTGAACCTCTAATCGTGCTTAGCGGCAGTTGAGTGGTATCAGAAAGAAGAGGGAAGAGAGACTTCAATGTAGAGAGCTAGAGATGCGGGTACTTACAGCAATTAAATGATTTCAAGGCCGCGGTTGATTATTGCAAATGTTAAGATAGGAATCTGGTAGCAGACTTTTAGAGTGCATTTCATATATGGAGATCAGGTTCTCGGGCCGTTTGAATGGCGGCGCCGGTGGCACGTTTGCGAAGAACCCATATAAATGTATTTAAAATATGCTCACGTTCCTATTCCAATTGGCCAAGGAGGATTGGAATCATAAAGCCTCTAGTGTCGACGGAATACCTCTGAGCAGTTCAAAGCTCAACATGTACATAGTGAAGCGAATCAAAATACATCGGCTCCGCTGGCTTGGCCATGTCGTTTGTATGGACACCGACAATCCAGCTCTCGAAACCCGCTGGTGGTAACAGAAGAGGGAGGCCTCCACTGCGCTGGAAAGACCAAGTGGAGAAGCACTTGGCTTCACTTGGCATTTCCAATTGTTACTTACCATAGCCGTTTTAGTTTTGTTTAGCGAGTATATCAAAATACCAAGGAGAGATGGCATCGCAGAGACAGCTTCTCTTCGTGGTATTAAAATCGGCTTTAAAATCGACGAAAAGGTGTCGGACGTCGATTGGTTTATCTAAGCCTCTTTTCCAGAATTTGATTAACTGCGAAAGTCGTCTGAAACTACACTGATAAGCTTCAATCAGTTGATTTGTGAAGGTTTTTGGTTTTCACACAGTATCGTCGATAGGATCAGTTATGCTGTTTTAAGAAGTAACAGCAGCGTCTCCCCTCTTGTAGATTGGGGAAAAGTGCACTGTGATTTCAATGTTCTGGCATGCATTCACAAAATCAAATTCTGTTGCGCAGCTAGTATATGCGTCCAACCTGCTCTCCGCTAATTCGGATTCAATGATTGCTTTTTCATATATTTCACGAATAGTCGAACTACGATGGATTCAGCAAAACTCCCGAATATATTTTAGGCTCGAGAATAACTTGAGGTTAATTTGAGAATTATGACATGTCTTCAATATTCAATGTTAATTCTTAGCTATCTAAATCTTCGGGGAAACTTTCCATTATGGCCGTTCGTTAAAGGTACGGTGGGCGAAGGTGGAATAGGCGTGGCACCTCTAACCAACCTTTTTGGAGAGGGCATGAACCGCCATTGACAAAAATGCAACCCCCGACCACCTAGGACCCCTATGGTTCCCTACGGACCACTTAGAAAAATGGCCAAAAATCGCAATTTTTACTTGCGTCCACAGTATTTTTGCGTAGAATTCCTTTCTGCGTAGGCGGCCTTCGGCCGCGCTTAGGGATTATAGCCCTTACTACGTAGAATTCTCCTTTCTGTGTGACCTAACTGGGGCTACCGCCCCAGTGATGTAACCTTGGGAACGGATGAGGTAACTAGAATTCCCTTTCTGTGTGGTTACTCTCTCTATTTTGGTTACTGGGTGTTTTATAAAAATGTCTTGTATATAAAAATGTGTATATAAAAATGTATTGTGCAAATGAATATTTAACATTTTTTCATGCGAATAAACGCAAATGGAGACTGTGATTTCTGGCAATTTTTCTAAGGGGTCCCTAGGGAACTATAGGGGACCTAGGTGCATTTTTGTCAATGGCGGTCCATTCCCTCTCCAAAAAGGTTGGTTAGAGGTGCCACGCCCACTTACCTTTCGCCCACCGCTCCTTTAACGAACGGCCATAAAGGAAAGCCAACCCAAATCTTCACTTTTTTCCAGAAAAAAAAATAGTTGCCAACTTTTTCCCCGATGGCATCAACTTGGAAAATGTAAATGTTGGAAATTCAGTTTTTTTGGTGTTTTTGAATGGTTGAAAAACGTCCACTGTCTTTTAGGTTTCGTCTATCTAACTTCAGTTACTCACAATTTTTCTTTGGTGTAAAGGTTTATGCCAAATTTTGCGATACATTTCCGTTGGGTAAAAAATAATTATGTATAAAAAACGCTATAAAAATATCGTGAGCTATTTACCATGCTCGATGGACTTAAAAGACAATACCGGAGCTTTGCACGCCTATCACATTTTTTGTTCACAAATCAACGAATTATTTTTAGGTAGACGCAATGCTGGTAAAGTTAAAAAATCGTTTTTGAGACGGAAATTCAGTTAATCAAGTTTGAATGAAACTGAGTACAGAGTGAATAATATGTTTATATTGTTTTATATAACAGTAATAATAATAGATTGGCGCTTACACATATGTTAGCGGAGGGACCTACAGTTTTACGCCGACTCCGAACGGCGATTGTATTTTTATGACAAGCTGTTTTTCATGGCAGAAATACACTCGGAGGTTTGCCATTGCTTGCCGACGGACGACCGCTGTTAAGAAGAAAACCTTTTTCTATATATTTTGCGATGTTGCTTTGACCAGGGCTTGAACCCAGGTGCTGATGAGTGAAAGCGCGCACTGCTTACCACTACATCACATCGGCCGACTATATATGTTTTATATAGTCCATGATAAAAAAATAGGAAGCTAGAACCGTGATAAAAACATAGTAAGATAAAACCAAGGTGTATTAAACAAGGTGTGATTGCCAACTCAGGTCGGCTCTCTTGTAAGGTACTATTATGCCAAAAAATATAGACAAATGATTCGAAATTCATAAAATTTTTTTCAATTTGACTTTATACGATGGTTCTTCTGACAGCAATGTCAAATTCAATCACACTTTGTTGAATACATTTTGATTGTACCATGATTATTGCCCATGGTACAATAATTACAGGTAGCGCATATTCCGATCTGCCTTATTTGAAAAACATCATTGTTGCTCACACTAAAAGGCTTACTTCTAGGGAAAAAGGGTATTTCCATATCCCATATACCATATATCGACTGCTGAGTGGAAGATCGACCTACCTCGGCAACCAGTTCGAAAACGCCCTATCTCAAAAAACTTTTCAAGAACGCCCTATTTCAGAATTTTATTGAAAAACACTCTATCTCAGAATTTGGTTCAAAAACGCCCTATTTCAGAATTCGATTCAAAAATGCCCTATCTTACATCAAAATGTATTGAAAATGTGCTGATATAGGGCGTTTTTGAAACGGGTTCTGAAATAGGGCATTCTGCAACCAACTTCTCAAATAGGACATTTTTGAAACGTTTTTTGAGATATGGCGTATTCGAACTGGTTGCCGAGATAGGTCGATCTTCCACTCAGCAGTCGATATGTACACGTATTTTTTTTAAACAAATCTTCTTGCAGAGGATTTATTTAATTTGCAAAAGCCGAAAAAAAAACATTTGCTTTGTAAATAAATTCAAAATTGGTATGGCTCACTTCAGTTCGAAGGTTTTTTTCTTTTGTTTTGAAAAATAAAATAAGTGAGCCATACCAATAAATTCAAAATTGGTAAGCAAATACCTATTTCGGCTTTTGCAAATTAAATAAGTCCTCTGCAAGAAGGTTTGTTTAAAAAAATACGTGTACATATATTGTATATGCGGTATGGACATATCCCTATTCCCTCGCAGTAAGCCTTTTAGTGAGGGCAACTATGATGTTTTTCAAATAAGGCAGATCGAAATATGCGCTACCTGTAATTATTGTACCATGGGCAATAATCATGGTACAATCAAAATGTATTCAGCAAAGTGTGACTAAATTTGACATTGCTCTCAGAAGAACCATCGTATAAAGTCAAATTGAAAAAAAAAAATATGAATTTCGAATCATTTGTTTATATTTTTTGACATAACAGTACCTTAAAAGAGAGCCGACCTGAGTTGTCAATTACACCTTGTTTAATACACATTGCTTTTACCTGTTGTTATTGTACCATGATTTTTTTTATTTAAATATTTATATGATTTTAAAATGCTGGCGAACTTAAAAAAAAAATCATGAACTCATGAAAAAAAAATGAATGAACTATGTATGGGTGCGTTCGAGCTACCTAATAAGTAAATACCGTAATATTGCAGCCTTTATGCTTTCTTGGGAAATCTATTGAAAACCCGCTTTAAAAACTTGTATATTCCATGGGATTTGCGAGTGATAGTAATGCATTGTCAATCTTTCGTTATACATAATTATAGGCAGATCTGCATAAATTTTCGAGAACGCACTGCCGCATTTATTGTAGTTCTAATACACTTAAGTATACTTACTTAAGTATAAGTATAAATATATTTATTAAGTATCTGTAAGTAATAAGTTTATATTCAGAAAAAAAGAAATATGTAAATAGTCAAAACCTTACAATATAGGATCTTATACCATTGTGTCGGGCACTATACACACATGCCTTACCTGCACCTTACTCTTCATACGGCGGTCCTTACCACTTCCCTGCCGAATATCCCTTATGCCGAATTGCCACTAGACAATGAAATGACAAGGAATGTATGCCATTTAAAAAATATGCCATGTGGAAATGAACTTTATGTCTATTTTTTAAATGTAATGATACGATTATTTTTTAATGCCCGACTTTATCATTTGTCATTTTTGCCATTTAATGCCTAGTGGAAATCAAGCATTACTTTAACAAAGTCGCACCGTGGTTCGTATCGCAAATCTAGCTGGACGAAACTATTTAAACAAATACTTCTTACCTAGGGAATTTTTGGGTCGCTGATTACGAATCTGAAGTCACTTACCAAAAATTCAAAATGGCGGATCCAATATGGCGGACGAAAATTAAAAAAAAAAATCGGTAGATTTCTATGAAACTGGGTATCTGGAGGTTTTCTGGGTCGCTGATTACATGTCTAAAGTCATTTACCAAAAATTCAAAATGGCGGATCCAATATGGCGGACAAAAATTTAAAAAAATCGGTAGATTTCTATGAAACTGGGTATCTGGAGGTTTTCTGGGTCGCTGATTACGAATCTAAAGTCATTTACTTAATTTACTTCGGAACGAGCATTTTCATCAGATATTTCTACTTTTACTAATCACATAATCACGGACAGCTTGTTGTCTTTTAGAAGTTTCAGCAACACCTCTCCAAATGTCAAACAACTCACTTCTTAAGATTTTATTTACCATGACTAAAATTTAAGATCACAGCAAGAAACACAAATAAATTTCAGAAAAAACTTTATAACAGCGCTTAAAGAGTTGCATGCCTGTTGTATAATTTTTTAATTTCAGAAAGCAGAAAATTTGCGAGTTACTATTTTTTTTAATTCTTACATAACCAAAGTTTTTATAACTCCAAGTATTTTTCTGTTTTAACACACAACCCCCACCCCCCTTCTTCCCGTGGATCCGCCACTGATCTTATATTTATATTCAAATACATTCCTGTTAATAATTACCAAGGCGAATTAATATAAGGTGATAGCAGGAGTACAAAAACAAAAATTTACATGTATTTTGTTTTTGCTTTGGCGGCATAAACTGTCAAAATCTGTAAGAGCGTGTGTAGAAAATCAAACAAAATTTTTCAATTTGATATCAGAAGCCGTGCGGCGAAACACATACACAAAATCAGCTGAGCTACCCACTGGGAAAATAGGTAAGCACCTTGCGAGGTAAGCCATGTTTTCTTTCAGTTTTTAGTACCAAAATTGTCATCATGGCCAATGTCATCTACTAGTAAAGGGCAAAATGAACACCTCCGAAGACACATTACGTTGTCAGTTGCAAAATAACGTGCAGCCGAAGTTATTTCCAAGCACCGAACTACTCCGAGCGACTGCTCTGCATTACACGTAACTTACTTTGTAAAGCGGCTCAGAAGTATGTCTGATACCAAATGTACATTCTAAATTCCTACTTACATAAGGCGGCCATGCCTTTGTAAAAGTAAGGNTAATGCAGAGAAGTCGCTCGGAGTAGTTCGGCGCTTGGAGATAACTTCGGCTGCACGTTACTTTGCAACTGACAACGTAATGTGTCGTTGGAGGTGTTCATTTTGTGCTTTACTAGTAGATGACATTGGCCATGATGACAATTTTGGTACTAAAAACTGAAAGAAAACATGGCTTACCTCGTAAGGTGCTTACCTATTTTCCCAGTGGGTATGCAAGTGGTTTAATAACGGCCTTCGGCGGCCTTTACTTTTTCAACTCTTTAATTTATTTTTTTTTAATTAATCAAAACGACTATTTTTCAGAATAAATTTGCTTATACCAATGTGGACATAAATTGCGTTATGACCTCTGAATCTATAGCGGAATAAGTGTAATTTTTTGTTTATAAAGTCAAATTGCAATTATGCAAATATCTGTGAGTGCAATTAGCAATCTTTTAAGTTAAATTTCAGCTTTTAAAATAGAGTTCTCAAATAGGCGGCTTTGACTTACCTTTTTTTGTTGGATTTCATATGTTAATGCTTTAATAAATGCAATTTCTATTTGAATGTGTTGTCAGGAATGTATTCCAAGTACCATTAAGTATTTTAAAAACAAAAAAATTTTGACTTTCGTCCAGCTAGATCTGCTATCCGAACCACTGTGGGTCGTGGCCGCGTTATGTAAGTAGGAATTTACCTCGTAATGTGCTTAACTATTTTCCCAGTGGGTTACTCGACGTGATAAGTTTGAAAAAATCATAGCGACTCTAAAAAAGAAAAAAAAACCCTTAGTTACTGGCACTTCTAGTTATATATATGAATATATATTCGTGAGCTATTGTCTTTCTTTAGAAATAAAACCTGTTTTTAAAAAAGTCCTTCCAGTTTTTCCAAAATTTTCCTTTTTTCCGGCAATTTTTCTGCGTATAAAAAACCCTATTTGAGTGACTGCGAATCATTAAAAACTAAAAATAGTCAAATAAGTCTAGCCGCTCTCAAGAAAAAATAAACAAACAAAAATATTGGAATAATATTCAAAATTAAAATATATTTTAGCGTATACATATAAAATATTTTATTTCCTAATATATATAAAAACACACACACTTTAAAGTCTTCTTATAAACGAACATGCGTTTGCGATGCGAAATATCTAGCCAATACTTAATAATTCTAAGCAAATGCGCACTACCAACGTCAACTCAATAGCGGGGTGGCATGTTTTGCATAAAGTATTGCATTTGTTGTGGTTGGTGCTGGCCCATATTTGCAGCCATATGCTGCTGTTGGTGTTGTTGTTGTTGCTGCTGCTGCGCCATTAAATTGTAATTAGCCATTTGTGGATGATTACCAGGCGCGTTGCCACCTCCTGCAGCACCACTGCCACTGCCCACTGCAACCATTGGTACATTTTGTTGGGATTGTTGTTGCTGTTGCTGGTGTTGTTGTGACTGTTGCTGTTGTGAGGGCTGTTGCTGCTGCTGCGGTTGAGCATTGCCCCCTGCCTGCATTTGCACCTGTTGCTGTTGCTGGCTCTGGGCGTTCACCATATTCGCCTTTTGCTGCTGTTGTTGTTGAAGTTGCTGCTGTTGCTGCGCTTGCTGTTGTACGGCAGCAGCTAACTGTTGCTGAGTTGGTGGTGGATGTTGCTGCTGTTGTTGCTGTTGCTGTTGCTGTTGTACAAGTGGCAGATTGAGGCTAAAAGGGAGAAAAAGGATGTTGTTTGTATGTATTACGAAAATTAATGTCTTTTAAAATGTATAAACTTATTGTTTACTTCTTCTCCGTGTTAATGTCTTCGATATTTAAGCGCGTTATAAAACGCAGGCGCAGTTGCAAAGCAGGTCGAAGACGCTTGATTATTACTTCCGACTCATTTTTGATGACATTGCCGACATGAATATACTTTATGTGGTAGCTGAAAAGGAAAGCACTTACATGAAAGCATAATAACTTTTATAAGTTGGGGATATGTACATACAGGAAATCACAAATCGTGTCTATGTATTCGAGCGGGGCTTGTCCATGCGCCTTATCGACCACATCAAGCATTTCATATATCATTATTGCAATACCAGCGACAGTGTTGGGCTTCTCCAAGTCGATACGCTGCAAAAAGGGTCCAAATACATGGCACAAGAAAACAAGCTGTTGCTCGGTGCGCACACAGGGTTTCAGTTTCTCAGCAAGATATCTAAATAAGCGAACCAATACATACATATGTAAATATATTAAATTTGTATAATAGCAAAAAATAAATGAATTAAGCACTAACTTCGTCATTGAGGCCAACTTAAAACCACCCATGTGATGGAATATAGAGTGCGCCACTGCCAGTATTAATACATAGCTCTTCTCAATCATTGATTCACAAACAGTCTTGAAATTGAAAAGTTCAAAGGCCGTAAAACGATAAGTCCATTTCACCATTTTTGGCGAATTTAATGCCTCCTGCAAGCGATCATAGATTACACTCCAATGTGTCTCTGGCAGAGCAGCGAGTATTATGCCCACAGCATTGATGTAATTATGTATCTCTTTTTGTGGAATCAATGAATAACCCTTTACAATAACATCCACCACATTATTTGCTACAATTGAGGGCGCTATTGGCAAACTGAGTAGCTCAACGCATGTAACATAGAGTGCATGTGCTGGCGCATTGGGGAATTCATTGAAGCGCCAGTCGGTGTTGAAGAAGAGATTTTTGCCCGTTATTGCTATAGTAAAGGACTTAAAAGTAAATTTTTGCAATCAATAAATAATATCAAACTTACTATCTGAAAGACGTCGCACTAAGTTTATATAGTAATTGAGTTCAGGATTCCAAAGCAATTCTTGATTTTGCAAAAACATTTTGTATGGTTCACTAACACACCAATTTGGTGGCCGTATGTCGCAGAAGGCACCGGTTATGGCGCTCACCTGTAAAGTACGATATTTATACGAACCCAATTTTTCTTTTCCTTCTTGCAGAAGCTTACCAATTTCTTTTTAAGCGAAGGACGCTCACGTAAAATGCGCTCGTAGAAATGCAATGTGTTGTACAAATAGGTAATAGGTCGATCTATGCAAGAAAAGTTGAAATTCGGAAAAGATTTAATCAATAGTAGCTATGCGTGCGAAAACATATTTTATATAATTTTAAAGTACCATGAAATTTATACAGAACGCTCAAATGATCCAATATGACTTCACAGATTTGATGCACATGCTGTATGGGCAATTCAATGAAGCGATGTACGACAATATCCAGCACTGGCAAAAACCGCAGACATACATTTGAGAAATAAACAGGCAATGGGGGATGTGATGCCGATTCATCAGGTGCAAATTTCTCAGGATATTTCTGATGAAATGATAAGTGCTTTTCGTGCCTGAATAGTTTTAAACAAAAGACAAATTTGTATATATTTTCTTCTTTTTTTGTTGAGATGTGTATATGCTTTAATAACTCAACCAATTATTTTGCTTCCAATGATCAGGATGGTTCTCTTTGCAAAACTCCTGTATACGGTTGCGTAATTCTGATGTTTTAAGTAGGAGCAATTGTATAATAAGGAAGCAAACCTGTGCTTCATTGCCCTCCTGGGTGCGCAAGGCCAAACAAAGTACAACGCGGTCAATTGTAACAATATTATATTTCCAAATCATGTTATTAATGGTATCGACACATTTGTGTATGAAATCTTTGCCATTGCTATTGGCCACCTCGCCAACTAAATAGTCGCATAGCTTGCGCAAATGTGCTGAAAGTGCGCGGGCGCTAATGCCCTCTAAAATTCTACAAAACAAATTTGTCAAATTGAATGCAATACACTTTTATATTACGAGTACGTACTTATACGCCACTGGACTGACATTTTCCGTTTCCCAAATCATTTTGAAAAGTAAACAAAGGAAAAGTGGATTTGTGCTGGGCCGTATAAAATGATTCATAATGTCGTTGTCATTTGACATCGATGTCCAGTTACGATATTCTTCCTCGACGGATTTTTTAAGCAACTGCTTATTCTCCAAAGGATGATTATTTTGTACAAAAAACTCATTTAAAGCAGGCGGAAAGCAAGCCAGTGAGTGCGACGCCCATGAATGCGGTGTATTTTGCATTATAATATTGAGTAGCTCTTTACACCAAGGCTGCAGTTCGTCGCCTATGATAAGAAAAAGCGGAAATTATAAAATGTTTAAAGGTTTTTAAAAAAAGAAATACCCACCGAGTCCAGTCATGTGCATTGAACGTGCCAGCGTTAGTATCAGCACACGATTCAGTTCCTCACTCTCGCTCGATGCGACAGAACCAGGTGGTTTTTCGCTAAAATAGCGAGACATTTGTGGCTGCATTTCTACTGAGCCTAGTCCGGTAATTAGACGCAAAGCTGTCGATTCGAAACTAAGGAAGGATTAAGAAATAAAAAAGACACTTCATTTCTCAATATTCGTTCGTACTCACCACAAATTCAATTGCATTTTATTGGTTTGCGGCGAAACGACCGTACAGTGTGAAAGCAGCTGAAGGCGATATTGTGTTGGTATGTGATGTAAACGATATAGGAACATTTCCAGCAGCGTATGTAGTATGCCCCAGGCCTGGTGCTTGAAAACAGCGGGCAGCAATTGCTCTAAAAAAGTTAATGAAAAAGCAATAAATTATATATATATATTAAGAATGATTTGATTTCTTCCGAATAACTTACGCAAGAATCCTTTAATGCCCAGCGATTCGATTTCGGTGTAAACGAGCAGTCGGGCATAGGTTTCTACTAAAGCTGGTGCAGGTATTGAGCTTTTGGCCTGCGCTTGTTTAATCATTTGCGTAAAAAAGCTGTGAAACATCAATCATAATAATTACGCTGCTAATTTCGAAAAAAGTATGTTCTTGCATTACCTATGTATTAGCGACATTTTACTGTGTACAGTTAAGCTGTCTAAAACAACCATAGAGAACGGTGCTGAGGGTAGTTGCCCGCCAGCTGCAGTTTTAGCATTTCCATTTAACGCTTCGGTAAGTATATTCATTGGACGTGAAAAATACTCTTGATTTGTTGAATATGCATTACATATGAGTATAATACGGAAATCGTTGCCCAAACTCATAGACATCATTGTATTTGGCATAACAAGGTGCTGTAGAAAACTGTAGGCAAATAAAACATTTAATTGACGTAAACTAAAGAAGTCTGGAAATCAAACGTACTCGTGATGATTTTTTAATGCAATTGGTAATGGTCTATTAATATTCATATTCTCCAGTCTAGCCTTTTTCATCAGGTGTATCCAAATACAAATGGGCGCCATCTGCGAATAGAACGCTGTTAACAATTTCTATTCGAAAATGATTTATGTTTTTTATAAGAAATTACCTGTCGCAATAATGAGGATTTTGTGCAATCTGGTAATTTTAGTGGTTCCTGCTCAGGATAAAGCAAGTCAAACAGCTTGAATGTTGGTAGAAAATTAGCTATCTATTAACGAGTCATATGAATATGTAATGAGAGTTAATGATATATCCTTTTTTTGTAATTTTTTTAGTACTACATACTGGATTCTTTTGTATGCTACCAGATATAAATTGCAATAGTATCCACATCAGCTGATCGCGTCCCTTTCGCAATTCCTTCTTGGAGAGCTAAAAACGTTAATAAAAAAATTTAAAGCCAGAACCACATTCAAATGCAATGGTATTTACCTTTTCATACAATGCAGTCACTATGTGTGAAAAACTTACGAACTGAAAGAGAACAAAGTATATCAGCTGTGACGATAAGTGTAGCCATACCCATTCGTTCATGGAGGTTTGCTCTTCATAAACATTGAAGCTACTACCCATCATAGAGTCATTGCTCTCGGTCATTTCCATGGCAGATATGATCAAATTAACCAACTGTTCCTCGAGCGCATTGCAACGTTGCTTTTGTTGCTTCTGCAAACTCATCATAACGGAGACCATCTCCTTGGAATATGGCTGATCAAGCACATAACGCAAAAGTTTTGTTTGCTCTTCTAGCAAATCTGAGTCATAAGGAAGATTGCCTTTGAAAACGAAGCGTAAAGTATTCGGATCTAATTTCCATGAGTTCATCATATGATCGGCATAACCGAAACACTCAACAATAGGTAACATATGTGAGTGCCCTATGATTGACACCATTTGCGCGGTCCTGCGAAACTCCTCCATGAAATCAGTCATCATTTTGTTAATTGTCTGGAAGTTTTGAAAGTCGTTTTCAGTTACTGCTAACAAAATATTTAATGATAACTACCCAGTGATATGGTGGTGGCTTCATTATTTCATTGGCAATAAAATAGCCTGGCAGTAGACAATTATTACGATCAAATATGTAGTTTAATGTATCTTTCAGCGCCTGTAGTTGTGGTAAAAAACTGACGTTTATGTTAACGGGAAATGTTTGGGCTTTATCACGACACATCTGCAATAAATTTGGTAAATAATTTAAGCTGGGATAAGATATAATCTATCTTCATACCTTCATTATTTCACGCACTCCTTTGTAATCTACCAGCGATAAGACGCGTTTAATTATTTTGAAGCTCTCAATCCAAAAATTTGCGTTCTCATAAACGAGTCTGTCGCATAGCAAAATCTTATCGCAGAGCATTCTGTATAGGATAGGAATTATTAAAACCTGAGGAAATTGAGTTTAACACTGTCACCTTGCCGTTATAGCATGTGCCTCCGCTAATTTACCCAGTGTATTCATTAGCACACGCAGACGCGAAATGTTTGTTGCAGTTGCCGCACGTTGCAAATATTGTCGCACCAAACCCTCTTTGTTGTCCTGAGGTACCTCCTCGAATTTACGCACTATGCAAATAAAAAGATTCGATGTCATGATTCAGCAAAGATAGTAGTCGTTTCCAGCTGGGTACTTACAAATGGTTTCAGTAAATGAACAGGACTTCTCCTCCTCGCCGTTCGGTTTGTAGACAATAACGCTGAGGAACGCCTCCTCAATCGGTTCCACTTTCTACGAAATATGTAAACACAGTTGTAAAAGTAACTTTAATCAGAGTTTAGTGAACCTACCAGGAAGCTATTAACTGCTTCTAATATTTCTGTATCCATTTTTAATTTATCAAAACTTTGGTTGAAATAAATATATTATTTTATATTGGACAAAACAATAAAAAAGCGCACTGAAAACCGGCTACATGAAAGTAAACAGCTGTTGAAAACCATGGTTTGCAAACAACTGATTTGTTGTCACGCTCGTAGTATTGCCAGGTTTCAACAAGAAACTTTAGAACTCAAAAAACCTTTCTTCCAAGTTTACCATGCAAGTTTACTGTAGGCTTTTAATACAAAGGAGAACCCGGGTCAAAATGGCTCCTCGACGAATATGCAAATGCAAATATTTGATTAATATACATAAAATGAAGTCGCTTCATTAAAAATAACATAAAAAGTTTTAATAATTTAATAATTACATATGTAATGTAATAGATGTTAACATAAATAAAATTAATATTGGAAGTTAATGAAAATAATAAAGCGTACCGTTGAAACGGTACTGTCGTATGAACAATTAACTGTGAAATCAAAGATTTACTAACATATGTACATAACTGTTCCACGGAACAAAAGAAGAAATATTTTAAAGAGAAATAAAGAATTGAAAATAATAAGACACGTGATACAAATATAACATACTAAGATATATATTTGGAAAGCAGAGGAATAACCTGGCGTTGGTTTTCTATAAACCGGCCAACCTACTCAAAACCCCACAAAAAAAAGTAAGAGAACCTTGAAATGTTAGTTATTTATATTACTAAGATTTTAATATAGTTACGATCCCGTACGAGTCTGGACTATTCAGAAATAGTCAGAATTGTCAGATTTTACTGGTATATTCGATTTCGTACCCGGTTCTTTGACTATAGAGAGGACATAAAAGAGAGTAAATGAGGTCTTATCTCTGTCAGAAGTACCAGTTATAGTCCAAGAATTTTTTGCTGATAAATTCTGGTAAATATGTCAAATGGGTGTGTTTGACAACCAAATTGTAAACAAAATAAAGTCCAGGCTGCTAATGCATGTCGAAAAGTATTTAATGTAATGTTTAAGTGGTTTCTAATGAATTGGAATGTAAATTTGGATATTTAAAGGTATGTGCTGGCTGTATTTACATACAAAGCTAAAATTTATAACCAAAATTTGGGGGTTATGTTGAAGTTGTCAGAAGTTACCATTTTTTACTTTCTCGCTCTGAGCGAATTTTTATTTTTTGACAGTTTTATTAGTTTTAGTCCGAGGAAGACCTGGATTGGACCTAATACTTTTGTATGTAGTTTATTAGCATATTTGAAAACAACGGGTTTTGTTGGGAGTTTTGAGGCTTTTAGAAGATTCGCTTTAAAACACATGTGCAACGGCAACTCTTGGAAATTTTAGTACTTAGATTATGCTGCTCTGGAATATATCTGGTTTACGTTCTCTTATTTTACATTCTCTCTTAAAAACCTGTCAAAGCGGTGTTTATTTTCATTGTATTTAGTACTATTTTATTTTAGGCGAAAGGAGTTGAAAAATTCGTTGCATCCTGCAGATAAATTCTTATTACAGCATCTTGAAAGTGAAATTAAAACTTTTAACAACAATTTTGACCTAAAATGACGTGGGGATTTGTAACCTGTGGCCCCAACGAGGCGCTAGTAGTTTCGGGTAAGCATTTTATGCAAAAATTAACTTCAAATTGGAATTCTAAGGGCAGCAAAGAAAGTGAATTTGTAGGTATGTGACGTCATTTGAGGATTTATTGATTTTTTTATGCGTTATATACTACTGTACCAGTTATCCTAATTTAAATTTATGTACATACAAATGTTCTTTGCAACAGGCAAAAGTATTTAAATAATTAAATTAGGACTTTTGTAATGACCTTGATAAATGGGCGTAATACTGCAATATGTACATATTTATGGGTATTAATAATTGTTATTGAATGAGCTCGGTAGCCGCTTATATGCATATAAACGTAAATACATACATACATACAAATGAAGATAATACAAAACCGCGTATGTGAGGTTGCATAAATTATTTTGTAGATACTAAAAACAGTCGTATTTCGAAATGGTTCTCTCTTTTATAAAGCAATCATATTTCTGGCAAGTACCTACATATATTTCAGGACGATTAGATAAGGATTGAGCCAAGAGCTTGTGCGAGCAAATCTAATGCAAAAAATGTCAGTTACGCGGCTTTGCAGAATGACGATACGCGGTTTTGTACTTCAAACGACGATTTATGTATATTAAATATTTACATGTGCCTACGTATATTTTTATCGATGTGTGTATTAAAATATTTACATAACTAATTTAAATTATAACAATTATACCTATATGTATTTACGTACTCACATACATTCATATCTTCCGCACAGGATGCTGCCATATGAAGCCACTGTTGGTGCCTGGCGGTCGAGCTTTTGTATGGCCTACCATACAGCGCGTACAAAGGTAAGTTTTTGGTTTTTAACTCCGAAGTTCAACAATATTTTAAATAATATCTTCTTCACAGAATTTCCCTTAACACTATGACTTTGCAAGTGGAGAGTCCCTGTGTTTATACTAGTCAGGGCGTTCCCATCTCGGTAACTGGCATTGCACAAGTAAAGATTCAGGGTCAAAATGAAGATATGTTATTGACCGCATGCGAACAATTTCTCGGTAAAGGCGAATCTGAAATACAGCATATCGCATTGGTTACGCTAGAAGGACATCAGCGTGCCATTATGGGCTCCATGACGGTTGAAGAGATTTATAAAGATCGAAAAAAATTCAGTAAACAAGTATTCGAAGTGGCTTCGTCCGACTTGGCCAACATGGGCATAACCGTTGTCTCGTACACCATTAAAGATCTCCGTGATGAAGAAGTGAGTTTTTAAATATGTACTTAATAGCATTAGGTAACATATGTACATTAACATTTACTAGATAAAATTTTACTCGAAACTAAATAATATTTATTTCCGCATCCTTTTGTTTTTTTTTTTCGAAATCAAATATCAGCAACTGTAGTATATTCATACATACTCATATCGTTTGTACTAATCGCACTTTTTTCAATTTTATATGCAAATGTTTAAACCTATTTACTTAACTTTATAAATTGCGTATATTTTCCTTCTTTTCTTTTAAGTTGCTTTTCTTAGTTTTGTTTTATTTTTTTTTTTTTTATTTTAATGTAATTTTTTAATCATTTTAATTTCTAAGAAAGTTGCTATTTTTTTTGCATAAGTATATTTTATGTAAATTATTAATTCAATCAGCAAAAATTTCCTTTCACTTTCATGATTGAAATTATTTGTGAGTAGTTAGTTTGAATGACTTTCAGCTCTAAATAATCTCTTCTTTTTTCGGAATGGTGAATGCGTACTTAATGTGGTTTTTACAAATTACGTTATTTGTGATGAAGGGTGATTCAAAGGTACGTTTAATATGTAAAACTATAAAAAATGTATTAGCATAGTTTTGTATTGATGTTCATACATGATAATAAAAAAAAAAATCTTAAAAAAATAATAGAAAAATACTAATGTATATATGTACAGATTTTTACACTTATTTTGTACATGCAATGTATATATACATTCATATATGTGTATGAATGCAATGTATATATATATAAATATGTATGTTGTATGTATAACAAAATTTTGACTTAATGATTTCGCATTTTTAAACAATTAATTGTTTAGAATTTATAACTGAAAATGAAAATCTAAATCCACATCAGAACTATTTGCAATTAAAAAATTTGCACTGACTTTGTTCTGGAATTGTATTTTAAAAGTTTTTCATTGACTATTAAAATTACATGATAATACATGTTCTAAGTTTTCATTGTTATATTGATACGTGATTATCCGTTATTTGAAGAACTGAACATGTGTAAAAAAACACTTGCAAGATGTTTTAAAAATGTATACTTAACTAACTCTCAATCAAACAATACGTAAAAGTGAATATTTACCTTTTGTTACCCCGCATACTTTGTTACATCCTTGCCTTGATTACATCCACAATAACACTTAGTTATTAGCTAATGAAGCTACTAATAAATTCATATGTGTTATATCTTAATATGTTTCAGGGATATCTTAGATCTTTGGGCATGGCTCGCACTGCTGAGGTTAAACGCGATGCTCGCATCGGTGAAGCTGAGGCGCGTTGTGATGCACAAATTAAAGAGGCCATCGCTGAGGAGCAACGTATGGCTTCGCGTTTTCTCAACGACACCGAAATCGCCAAGGCACAACGTGATTTCGAGTTGAAGAAAGCCGCCTACGATGTGGAGGTGCAAACGAAGAAAGCCGAAGCGGAAATGGCTTATGAGCTGCAGGCGGCAAAAACCAAACAACGTATCAAGGAGGAACAAATGCAAGTGAAAGTAATTGAACGTACTCAGGAAATCGCCGTACAAGAGCAGGAAATACAGCGTCGCGAGAAGGAGTTAGAGGCTACTGTACGTCGACCAGCTGAAGCTGAGAAATTCCGTTTGGAAAAAATAGCTGAAGCAAATAAAATGCGCGTCGTTATGGAAGCAGAAGCAGAAGCTGAATCGGTATGCTATGTAGTTAAATGCATGTTGGCAGTTTTCGGTTAAAATAGTATTTCTTTTTTTAACTTTATGATTTCTTTTTAGATTAAAATTCGTGGTGAAGCTGAAGCATTTGCCATCGAAGCAAAGGCTAAAGCTGAAGCTGTACAAATGGCACAAAAGGCCGAAGCTTGGCGTGAGTACCGTGAAGCGGCCATGGTTGAAATGTTATTGGAAACTTTGCCTAAGGTGATTCACATTTGTTGTTGTAACGTGTGTAATATTTACCGGTAATTTACTGTAATATAATAGATTGCCGCCGAGGTTGCTGCGCCATTATCGCAAGCTAAGAAGATTACCATGGTTTCCAGTGGACAGGGTGAGATCGGCGCTGCCAAATTGACTGGTGAAGTATTGCAGATCGTCAACAAAGTGCCAGAATTGGTTAAGAACATTACTGGGGTCGACATTGCCCGGGTACGTCCAAATTCTGAATTTATTTAAAAGAGCAAACAATGAAAGGCGTAGGGCAGTAGTAAAGAGAAAAAGTAGAAAATGGTAGTATTTATTTTCAAAACGCTACGTGGAATCAAAAGACTTAATTGCTATGTTATTAAAGCAACGATGCATTTCTAGAGCTTGTCGCAATACTGACACATCTAATACTATTGCTAGTTTGATTTAAAAGTAAACAAAAGTTTTTGATTTTCTATTTTATATCCCAGCAACACCATGAATAAATCTTAGGTCGGTCCAAAAACAGTAAAGTCGGGATTGTAATGCCATCACCCCCTAGGATTGTACTATATCGTAAAAAAGTATACCCCGCGCTTTGAGCGACCGCTAAATATTTTTTGATTTCAAAATAAAAAAACAGGGGTATACTTTTTCTCGGTATAGAACAATCCTAGGGGGTGAGAGCATAAAAATTCCAACTTTACTTTTTCTCATGTGTTTTTGGACCACCCTAATAAATACACATCTTTGTCAACGCGAATTAATAGGTTCGTTCGCGTAGCTGTTAATTGTTCATGTTTAACCAAAACTTACACGTTTTTGCGTTCGCGTACGCAAAAAACTTGCAAAGTAGGGGAAATTGAGAGAGCAAAGTGACATTTCATTTTGAGGGAAGCTGTTAGTTTCTGTTGGAAAAATTTTTGCCAACAGCAATTTGCCAACAGGGAAACAGCTGATCAAAAACAGCTGGTTGGCATTCACGCAAATCACAAAATTTAATTTGATGGTTTAGAAGATAAAAATTACAAAATGCGACTAATTAAACTTGTAAGAAATAAGTAGTTATTTGTTTAATCAATAAACTGTGTCAGTATAACACTTTGCGATGACTTTTCGTACGTTTTAAATTTTACACTTTTGTATGTAAACAAAAATTATATCAGCTGTTCGTCTAACTTGCAAGTTTCTGCAAATTTTCTGTTCGCGTACTATTTTGGATATTTCTCTCTTGTGAGCGAACAGATGACATTTCGCCGGAATTTGGCAGTTGGTTGGTTTCTGTTGGAGATTTTAAACGAACGCACCTAATATAAGATGGTGGTGGTAGATCAGCTGATTTTGTGAATGTGTTTCGTCCCACGGCTTCGAATGTCAAATTAAAAAAATTTGTTTGAATTTCCACACATACAGATTTTGACAAAGCAAAAACAAACTAATGCAAATTTTTGTTTTTGGAATTCTGCTATCACCTTATATTAATTCGCCTTGGATGCACAATTTTAGAAACCAAAAATTAAAATAATTTGCCGATTTTTTATTGAAAATGATAAAAAAAACGGTAAAACCTACAATATATATAAATTTGGCAAGTTTAAAATTTAAAATTTATCTATAATAAAAAGTTTTACAATCATATAAAAACTCGGAAGTAAAAAATGGTAAAATTTAAAAAAATTATGTGTGTCTTAAAATTTCTAAGCACAATTAAACACAAATCAATTTAATTTGCTATTTACACGTTCTTTTTTGTTCATTTCAGTCTGTGCATGCTGGCTAAATTAAAAAAAAAAACACTATGCTTCTACAAAACAACAACAACAATAATGTATGAAAACCCACACGAACTGCATAAAAAGGTAAAGGTGTCAAAATTCTTAAACCAAAGATTTAAAAAAATGCGACAAAAGAACAATCGGAATATAACAACGATAAATTTAGGAAAAACGATTTTCAAAAAGCTTAGATAGACCTTGAAATTAACACATTCAATAAGATCAAGGACCTTTTTTGAATACTCTACAAGAATGTGGTTTTGAAGAATTTGGCATTTAATAAAATATAGTAAGATGACGCTAGTCTTAAACACAAATTCTTGAAGATTATAAATAATAATAAAGAAATAAACGAAATTCAAGTAACAAAAAATATAAAGAAATATGCTTGAAACTATAACAACTGTACTACTTCGTGATTTGCATACATTTTTTGTGTATATGTATATACTATAACATTTACAATTTTCAAAATATACTCCATATATGAAGGCGTGTAAAGCACACACTTGTATTTTGTACTTTCTTAAGTAGCAACAAAACACAAACGCATTCGCACATATTCACCAACGCCAGCGTTTTTTTCGCTGCAAATAAAATTGATTGTAAGTGAATTTTTATTTCAAGAACTACACGGCAGATTAACAAAACTATTTAGCCAGTTGAATTTACGGAAACTTTAAATTATCTTAAATTAAACAGATACATGTGTATGTATATAAGTTCGGATTAAGCCAAATTTTGTCTTAAAAGCAACTCATTTAATCTGCAAAACATGAATTAAATATTGAAGGGTTGTGTAAATAAAGTTTATGTGTGCATACATACATTTACATATAAGCATTATAAATACATATATTCAAAAGATTTACATACACATTCAAACACGAAGCTAAATGTCTTAAATGTGTTCTGTGGAAGTGAAGATATAGTGCATTATTTTTCAAAAAGTTCAAAAGATGTATCAAAAGAAGTTTTCACCAAAACATATGTATATGTAGAATTTTTTTTCATACGATATGCACATATATACATATTTTATATACTGAAATTAAACTATCTACTGTTTCTTGGTTTTATTTATTTATCGAACAAATCAAAAAGTTCAAAAGATGTATGAAAAGAAGTTTTCGCCTAAACATATATGTTGAAATTTTTTTTCCATACGATATGCACATATATACATATATATATTGAAATTAAACTATCTGTTGTTTTTTGGTTTTATTTATTTATCGAATAAATTAAAATTTGTACTTTTTTGGAAACTGAAAAATGTACTAAAATTTACCTTCACGGCCATATCCAGCTTTTTGTCACAATGTTTATTTTAATAAAGCACACAAAAAACGATAAAATATTAACCAAAACCGTGGGTAAAACCACTTATCCAGTTAAAATGTGCGAAAAATGTGTTATTTAATTTTATTTGAGCCTTTAAAAATAAAGAAAAGATTTGCTTTGCACATTTCGTGTCACTCTTTGCAGTGGGAGTTGCAAACGACGAAAATATTTACGAAATTACATTTTTTTAAAGAATGTGCATTTATCTATTAACACGAATTATTATTTTTTATTTTCAATTTTATATCGCAGCTTGTGTCTGTCCTAAATTATATTACCAATGTGTGTATCAATATTAAAATTTTTGTAACTCAATAAAAATCTTTTCCAACTACGAAGTTTCATTTATCCATATCAAACATCTGTATATTGTATTTAATCGTTGCTGTGGCTAGGTAAATGATTAGAGGTGCGTACTACCACTCCGTAGGACCTGGAGTCGATCACTGGTGCGAGCAGCATCTAACTGACTAACCAGAATGTAGTACCACAGCGACAAGCTATTTCGCTAGCTACATCAGCAATAATACACCACAACCATAGCTACACATTGTGGGCAGTCTAGAGCACTTAGAATATTTTAATTTTTGACAGCTCATGCTACATACAACAGCCCCACCTTTATGGTTAGCCAGTAAAGACCCCTTTCAGACACGTCAAGTCTTCCCCTCTCTTATCACCTCATTCGCCTACGAACCGAGCAGACTTGAAAGCAAGACTTGACGTGTCTGAAAGGGGTCAAATTAGAAAACTGTTTCTTCTAACAACGGTCGCCTCTCTGCAGGCAATGTTAAATCTCCGAGTGTATTTCCGCCATAACAAATATTCTCATAAAATCTATTGTATAACAACATTAGGACACAATAAATTGTAGGAGAAGCTCGGCTTAACACTTAAAAAAGCGTAAGCACCAAATTTTATTATTCTTCTTCTTTGGCGCTTTAACCGCCTAAGTGATTTTGGGCGAGCTCAACACAGCACGCCAGTCGTTTGTCGTCTGTGCCAACTGACGCCAATCGGAAATGCCAAGTGAAGCCAAGTCCTTCTCCACTTTGTCTTTCCATAGCAACCTTGGGGGCCTTGCTCTTCCTCTGTTCCTGCCATCAAGACCCACTCAGAGCTGGAGCGTCGGTGTCCATTCGAACGACAATGCTACGCCAGCGGAGCCGCTGTATTTTAATTCGCTGCACTATGCCCATGTCGTTGTAAAGCTCACACGGCTCATTGTTGCATCGTCTGCGGTACACGCTGTCGCCAGCGCGTAAAGGCTCGTAAAATCTTTATCTCGAATACTCAAAGAGCCGCTTCAACAGATGTTTTCATTGTCCATGCCTCCGCGCCATACACCAGCACAGGCATGATGAGTGACATTTAGAGCGTGGTTTTCGTACGTCGGGAGAGGATTTTACTTTTGAATTGTCTACTCGTTGGATTTCCATGCAGACATTATTATCGGTTTTAATGCTGATTCCCAAAGAAAAGAGATTATCTACTTTCTCTAAATTATAACTGCTAGCAATGACGTGGGTGCCAAGCCGCGAATGCACTGACTGTTTGTTTGATAGGAGGAGTTACTTGGTCTTGTCCTCGTTTACCACCAGACCCATTTGCTTTGCTTCCTTATCCAACTTGGAAAAGGTAGAACAGACTTCGCGGTGTTTGTCAACACCCCAGCAATTGCACGCTCTTGTAGTAAAATGTTCCTGAGCGGTTCATTTCTGCAGCTCTGTCGCCCTGTCTCAAATCCCGTCTCTGAGAGGTCTTTTCCAATTCTGTGGTATTGCTCGACGTCCTTTTACATAGCCATATTAGTTTCGCGGGGATACCAAATTCAAACATCGTGGCATAAATACAATTGCTTTTCGTGCTGTCGAAAGCGACTGTGAATAGACAAATGGTCTTTGGGGAATTTGTATGCTGCTACAACAACAACCGTTCCCACGACAGTCGGGTCTACGTAACCGGAACGACCCAGATTTATATCTGGCCAAGGACTGTCACTCCAGCAACACTCCCCAAAAAGTCTTTGGGGAATTTGTATGCTGCTACAACAACAACAACAACAGACAAATGGTCTATAGTGGATTTGCCTGGTTTAAAGCCATACCGATAAGGTTCAATCCGTTCGTTGACGGTGGGCTTCAGTCTTTTATACAATACACTCGATAAGATCTTGTAACCTATGCTTAGATGGCCTAGGCTGATCTCGCGGTAGTTGGCGCGGGCAGAGCACACTTAGGCCCTTATTATGAGCCGCATTCGATTTTCGATCTTCGCTGGCTATCGAAGATCGAAAGTGAAATTCGTATTATGAGCTATGCAAGCGTGTCGAAATTTTCGTTGAGTATCGAATTTTCTGTCGAACAGAATTTTGCTTTCGATGGTGTAGCGAAGTGTTAGAAAATTGTGAAAAATGTATGATTTTGTATATGTTTTCTTACATTTTGGCGGCTAGACACTAATTTTAAACATTTTTTATTAATTTCATGCAGTTCTAACATCGTGAATACTAAACACAAGCTCGAAAGGCTGGTTTTACTTGTGAAAGAAAATCCCAATACTCTGTTGGCACGATCTCTGAGAACAAAATCGTAGCGCTGTTGATAGTTTTAAAATATTTTAAATAGATTTGGCTCACAAACGCCTCTTTAGATGGTCGGAACTTTTTAATGAATCTGTAGACAAATTTCTTAAATATATTTTATATCAAAATATATTCGAAAGACTAATAAACTTAAACTCTCTTAAACATTTGCTACTCCTGGCTAGTTTACTAAGCTCTCATCCTCTGACGAATCGTTGAACCAGAACTCGTTGTACTCATTTTACCACGTTTTTGTAAACTCGCTTTCTTTTTTATTTCATTTTAATTAGAACAAATTTACATAAATATATATGTATAAGCATACTATTTACTTTACTCGATTTGTAAACAAAGCTTCTCAGCGGTGAGAAATATACTATTGTGAACAACCTAAACGAGCGAAATTCACAATAGCGCTATTCTTCATCGAATGAGCGCCATAATACCGAATGAAAATTCGTTCGCTCAGCACTTTCGACTACAGTCGAAAATTGAATGCAACTCATAATAGGGGCCTTAAATTCCAGACGTCGGCATGCATTAATCTGACAATATTCTCCATAAGATTTCAATAATGCCCTCCTCGCCGTACTTGAATAGCTCTATTGATAGCTCCAGCAGCTTTTTTATTTTTCAGAAACGTAATTGCTATTCGTACCTCGTCATAGTCTGGCGATGGATTGGTGCTCGGCTTCGCCTTCTCCGCCACTTTCCGTGCTGATACCATTCAGTAGGGTGGAAAAGTGTTTCCTCCATAATTTAAGTACTTTCTGGGCATCGGTCGCTCAAATCCGGCGATACTAAATAAATGGGAGATATGGTTCCACTGCTTGCATATGTCGGTTTGTTGAAGAGTGCTTTCACAGAGCAGGTGTGTGAGTCGAGTGGCGAATAATCGTCTACTGTCTCTCACAAAATTATAGAATTGGTTTCTCGTTCTTCGATCTGGAGACAGCCACATAGTTTGGTGCATCTTTTCATGTTTGAACCTAGTACTGCATATTAATATGTTACGGGCTCCGGTGAAGTTGATCACCCTCAGTCCATTATAGGACGTTTCGTCGTGGTGGTGGAATTTTTCGACGGTGGCATTGAAGTCGCCAAGCATGATCACATCGTTGTACTTTAAACGTTTGTCGTAGGGTAGTCTCATCCAAGGCTTTCTGTTGGTTCATAATTAGAAGTGGTTTTTAAGTGGCGGGTCCCAAACCCAGCGCACAATAAATTGCTGGGAGAGTGGTGGTTTCTTAACGAATGTATGTTTATATAGCGAACCGCTTGCTCCAAGACCGACCGACACGCGCTTGTAGCCGCACCTACTGGTAAACAGACTCTCTTTCTCCCGTGACCCAAGGCTCCACTCGGATTGGTTACCGCATCTTGCACATGGGTTGTTCACGTTGCCAAGTGTGCGCGAACGAGGACGCAAGAGTCGGGATTGACTATAGCCGTGCATACCCAGAGCCAAAGACTATACCCCACTTGGCAATTCAAATCGGCACAGAACAAAAGCGACTGGCGTGCTCGATTGGACTCGATTATAATCGCATGGCGCTTACAGCGGCAATCAAAATGAAAAAGTAGCAACAAGTTTACTAAAGGAAACACCGCCATATTTTTTTGTTATTTTTTATTTATTATATATAATTCAAGATGCTCTAACACTGTGTTTTTTGTTTTTGGTTTTTTTCTTTTACATACAAACATATTTAGTTTTTTTTCTCCTCTTTTTACTTGTTCTTCATATTTTTCTCTCATATTTATTTTTTTTTGTATTTTGTGTATTCGTGTAAGTATGGCTTTGAAATGTGACTTTTATGGCTGTTTATTTATGTTTTCTTGTGTAGTTTTATTACAAGTTCTCCAGTTTCCTTAATTAATCGTTTTTTGTTGTTTTAATGTTAAATTTTAAATTTAATTTATTAGCAAGTAATGCCAAAAAAGTATCGATTACATTTCTTTTGTTTATTTCATAATTAATTGTTTGTTGCTTATGTACTGCTTTAATATTACTGTATAATTTTTGAATTCATCTTTTTTATTAATATGTAATAATAAATAATTTTTTTTTTTTACAATTGGGTTTGTATTTTTTGTTGGTTTTTGCCTTTTGTTGATATTTATGTATAATTTATAAGTCTGACTGCTAGGTTTAGTTTGCTTTCATTTGTCTTTAGTATGAGTGTAGTTTTTGAAAAAATATGTATCCAGCTGTAATTATGTATGTATGTATGTATGTGTTATCTAAGTTGCATGAGTGTATGCGTGTTTGTTATTTTTTCAAGATTTGCAGAACTAGTGACTGATTTTTATATTATTTTTGCGGTGACCATCATTTC